CTGGCGTCGCCGCGCGGCCCCGACCGTACTTCGTTCCGCTCCTGCAGCAGGTTCTTGGTCTTACACCTCCTCCTCCTTCCTTAGAGGGTCCGCAGCCTGTCCGGTCACAGCCACAGCTACAGCCTGCCTCCCCTTTGCCTGCTCCTTCTCCCTACGCTGGTCCGACTGGAGGTCTTACTGAGCGTCGTGAGCCTGCGTCTCGTCCTGCGTCGCCTGTTCGTACTGAGCGCGCTAGTGGTCGCGGGTCGCGTCAGCGTCCTCCTCCTGTCCCTGGCACGCACCGGATGTCACTGCGTCCGTCCACTGCTCCTCTGCGTGCCCCTTTGCCTTCTCCTCCTGCTTCCTCTCTTCCTGCTCTTGCCGACCCGGAGTCGGACTCTCTTCGTGCTGCCAGTCCTACTGTCACGCGTCTCCTTGCTACTGCTGTCACTGACCCTTCCTTCGAGTCGTCTGCTGCGTCTGCCCTTGTCACTGAGCTTGTCGACTTTGCTGCGCGCTGTCGTCTAGACTACGCTGCTCGTCTTGTCGCTGAGTCTGAGTCCGCCTGTCCTCCGTCCGTCGGGGGTGAGTGTGCCCTTGGCACGGACGTCCTAGAGGACAGGCAGGAGGAGTTCCAGTGTCTAGCCGCTGCTTCACCTCGTCTCGCGTCTGTACTGCTAGCCCCTGAGGGAGACCCGGATGCACTAGACATCCCGACTCCGCGTTCTTACGCGGAGGCCGTAGAGGGTCCCTACTCCTCTCAGTGGCAGGCAGCTATGGATGCAGAGATGGCTTCCTGGAAGTCCACAGGCACCTACGTTGACGCGGTTCCCCCTCCTGGGGCGAACATCGTCAGTGGCATGTGGATCTTCAGGGTGAAGCGGCCGCCGGGCTCGCCGCCTGTCTTCAAGGCGCGTTACGTGGCTCGTGGCTTCAGTCAGCGGCAGGGAGTTGACTACTTTCAGACCTTCTCTCCCACCCCGAAGATGACCACTCTTCGGGTGCTGCTGCACATTGCCGCTCAGCGCGACTACGAGCTTCACTCTCTCGACTTCAGCACTGCGTTCCTGCAGGGTAGCCTGCACGAGGAGATCTGGCTGCGCCGTCCGCCTGGCTTCACTGGGACTTTCCCTCCTGGTACCCAGTGGAGCCTCCGACGGCCAGTCTACGGTCTCCGCCAGGCACCGCGTGAGTGGCACGACACACTGAGGACTACGCTTGCGGCTCTTGGGTTTGCTCCTTCTACTGCTGACCCGTCGCTGTTTCTTCGCACCGACACTTCCCTGCCGCCGTTCTACATCCTCGTGTACGTCGACGACTTGGTCTTTGCCACAGCGGACACTGCTGGACTCGCCTACGTGAAGTCCGAGCTGCTGAAGAGACACACGTGCACAGACCTGGGTGAACTGCGCAGCTACCTTGGCTTGCAGATCACTCGGGACAGAGCACGCCGCACCATTACCCTGACTGAGTCACACATGGTGCAGCAGGTCCTTCAGCGCTTCGGCTTCACGTACTCCTCGCCTCAGGCCACTCCTCTGCCTACTCGCCACTCACTCTCAGCTCTGCCTTCGGATGAGTCCGTAGAGTCGAGTGGTCCGTATGCAGAGCTTGTTGGCTGCCTCATGTACCTGATGACCTGCACTCGACCTGACCTTGCATACCCTCTGAGCATCCTTGCACGCTATGTTGCTCCTGGGAGACACCGACCAGAGCACATGGCTGCAGCGAAGAGGGTATTGCGCTACCTGTGCAGTACGTCGGGCATGGGGCTAGTGCTTGGAGGGCGGAGTCCAGTGGTCCTTACTGGGCACGCAGACGCTTCTTGGGCTGACGACCAGGCTACGCAGCGGTCGTCACAGGGTTACACCTTCAGCCTTGGTTCCGGCTCTGTCTCGTGGCGGTCTACTCGCTCGTCTTCGGTTCTCGGCTCCAGTTGTGAGGCTGAGATCTACGCCGGGGCCATGGCTGCACAGGAGCTTCGCTGGCTCACCTACCTGCTGACTGACCTTGGAGAGCTGCCTCGTTCTCCTCCAGTGCTGTACGTAGACAACAAGGCCATGTTGGCCTTGTGTCGAGAGCAGCGCTTGGAGCACAGAACGAAGCACATTGCTCTCCGCTACTTCCTTGCTCGTGAGCTGCAGCAGCGTGGTCAGTTGCGACTTGCTTACGTGGCCTCTGAGGCCAACACTGCTGATGTGTTCACCAAGGCACTTGCGCCTTGCGACCATCAGCGCTTTTGTACCCAGCTGGGTCTTGTACCTGTCTTGCCTCACTTGCTCTCTTCTTGACTTTACTTGTACTTTGACATATATATACCTGCTCTTGCTTGTCTAGTTTTATATATATGTCTTTACTCCTGCATGTGAACTGGCCTCTGGCCTTGCTCTTGTGCTCGGACTGTGTGGTGACTTTGTGATCCACCCTGAGCTTGTTTTGCTTTGCTTGACTGGTCTTGTGACCCCTTGTTCTCCCCCACTTTGCCTATGGGGGTGTGTCAGATTATTATAGCTGATGCATGTTTGTAGGCTATAGTGGGGTAGCACATATGGGGTACAGTTTGCTAGGGTTGTATTTGTACCCAACTCTGACTTAGTCAATTCATTCCTCTGCTCATAGTTTCACAGTCAGAACAAAGCACACACAGGAGCAGACGATCATCAGCGAGGTCTGCAGGGTGAACTTCAAAGAAGCACACACGAATACCTCCACCGCCATATGCCAAATGACCCTCATGACGTGACGGAGAGAAAGTCACGCGGCGACCAGGCCTGCAACCAACTGTGCGACCAGGCCTGCGACCACCTGTGCGACCAGGAGGCCTGCGACCACCTGTGCGACCAATGCCTGCGACCCCTTCAATTCCTTCGTTCATTTTCTGCAGTACTGGGAGCAGGGCTGACGATATCAGGGTAATTACCCTGATTTCAGGGTGATTACAGGCTTCTGACTTGGTGGTCCCTGCAAACACAGGTTTTCTATTTTGTGAACTCTGATCCAATCAGAGAAGCTACTTAACAGACTCTGAATTCTTGTAACTAGGCTCAGAGTAGTGTACTTGCGGACTCTGTCTATGCAGGGTATGCATTCCGTGGACCCTGAATGCGAGGGTATTGGGACGAAGTTTCCTAGAAGCTTCGTTTCGATAACCCCCTTGTGCATGATCATTTCTTCGAGTGGCCCCATGTGAGGTACCCCCTTCACGCGCCCGTGAGTGACGTAATACCGACAAAGGGAAACACTGACGTGCTGTACATCACAGCTGGCAACAGCGCCAACGCAACCAAATCAATGATACGGTGCTGCCACGCGCACCGCACAGTGCACAGCATGTGTCTGCCATTGGGCAGAATGGCCTGTTGACAGCATGCGGTGGCAGCCAAGGAGTCCGTGAATGAATTCAGCCTTGAATGCAACGACGAAGTCATCGTCGAATGTTGCCATCAAGTCCGTGGAATCGCGGCGCGGTGGTTTCGTGCTCCCGCCATCTCCAACCTCCCCTTCCCTCCCCATACCAACAGCCAACGTTTCTTTGTTCACTGGTGTGTTCTTTCCATTACGTGCATTCATTGTCTCATTTTCCTCTCGTTCAGTTTAGCCACCAATGGAGGCCATGCCGGCCGACGAAGCTGCTCCGGACACTGGCCCCGACGAATGTGCCTGGCAGGAGATGGCCCAACCTCATCCTACTGTGGCAGGCGCTGGCTGTGCTCCCCCTCTCCACCGTGGAGTGCGAGAGGGGGTTCTCCAGGCAGAACGTCATCAAGTCCTGGGTGCGAGGAGCGCTGTGCAACGCGCGTCTGGGGGAGCTGGTGCAGATATCGCTCCTCAAGTATGAGATCGACTGGCCGGAGGCACTGGAGGTGTGGAGGTCCCTGCGGAGGAGGTGCCCTGCGAAGAGTTTGAAGCTGGCTGTGGCAGAGAGGGAGAGGAGGGGGAAGCAGAAGGAGGGTGAAGATGTGGCTGCTAGAAATTCCGGGGAGAATGAGGAGGAGGAGAAGGAGGAGGAGGAGGACGATGAAGTGGAACAGGCCTTCGGCGACGATCAGGAGATCGTGAGGGAGGAGGAAGCGGAGGACAATCCATTCCTGTCGGACGATGAGGATGTGGAGGAGGTGTACTTCATAGACAAGCCCGTGCACTAGACTAGATAGAGTAGGAAAGTGCATGCAGTTGTATCATTTTGGAAAATAGTGCACTGTTAATAGCAACCCTGTTTTTGAGCTGTGAACCCTGTCCGGTAAGAGTTGGACTTCGTGTGACACTGAGCTATCAGGGTAGCTACCTTGCGAAAAATGTGCCCTCATAATAGAGGGTCAAATTTTTTACTGGAATCAGGGAGTCCTAAAACGAAACGTCAGCCCTGACTGGGAGGCCTGGGAGGCAACTTGACTCAGTCAAGGCTTGAACCCTAGTAAGATGCAGTGCAGACAAAAATCACGGTGGTCTGGTGGATTACTGCTGCCAGCAGTGGTCGGACCGGACCTGATCACACGACTGTCCTTCCGTGATGGAAAAAAAGGAGAGGCCGACGTTCTGAGGCTGTGAGAGTCTGCGAGCCTGCCGCAGGCATTCCTTGCTCTGGGCAGTCCCTGGCGCTCAGTGAAGGAGATGCACGCAATGAGGGACTCTCTCAGGGAAAATCGCGGAGCAGGCCAGGCAGCCTACTCGGCGTTGCATGAATCTGCACGTGAAAAATGGGCATCAGGAAGGCCTACGAGTCATGACAGAGAGGTGAACTCTCAGCATGATGTGTGGGTCCTGCCTGTCCTTCTTTGCCGGCCGGCAGCTAGCTAGCTCTCCCTACCGGAAGGCGTGAAGAGTCTTCTGTGAATGAGGCAGCTGCACTGCCCATTCTTGGAATGTCCAGCAAACTCCTGCGGATTCCAGAATCAGAGAAGCTTAGTAGCTTGTTTGACAGAGCTACTAACGGCCAGTTAGTCCTGGCGGTGCCTGCTGCCAGCAGTGCTTGCCCACGCGTCTGGGCTTCTCGGTTCAGTGTCGTCATGTCTGACAGGAGAATGGAGGCCTGGTTCGTATCCATGTGCTTCTGCTTCGCGGTTGTCTTCCACCAAGCTTCCGCTATCAACGGAGGGGCGTTTGTTCCGACTGTGCTGAGGGTTGGAAGGAAAGAGAAGCTCGACCTTCCTGGAACCGTGCCCCGGACTCACGTCCAAGCTTCTGTGCCCAAGACTCAGAAGACCTTTTCAAGCCTGCTCGGGTAAATACTTGAACATTGAACACCTCAGTAAAAGTTAGCACGAGTACCTGTATGAGTCATACCATTGGAATTCATCTTTTCGATTGTTCATGCAGAGATAGCTTATCGTTTTCTGTTTTTGCTTGCACTGTCCGTGTGGCTTGCTGTGGTAGATGGAACAGCTGGAACCACTTCCAGTGCAATTTCACATAAGACATGGTCAAGACTGCAGGTGAGACTCTCAACCTCGGTGGTTGCCACCATGCTGCAGCTGTGACCACTTCCAGTGCAGTATCACACAAGACATTGTGAAAACTGCAGGTGAGAGGCTGCCATCACACTGCTACTCCTGATCGTGGTAAGGTCTCTATATGCCCTTATTCCTTCAATGTTGTTTCCATGCTACCTTCATTCATCATAACTAGTGGCTGCTGCAGACTAGTACCACTAGTATCCGTAGTGACTTTTGAGTCGACTCAAAAAAGTCACCTTCATTCATCATGACTGGTGGCTGCTGCAGAATAGTACCACTAGTATCCGTAGTGTTTGTAGCTACTTGACTCATTCTACATTTGCAATTCATTTAGTTAAGAGCATTCATGCCAGCCATTCTTTTTCCAGAATGCCTGCAAACCAGTTCTCACTCCCTAATCGTTAATTGTGCCTGGCAGCGGACAAGCTCGTATCATCAGGGCTAGCGGCCCTTGGCTACGTCTATGTCAACATAGGGGAGACACATCTAACTCTTTTTTCTAAAGCTGTACTATCTGCCTTTTTCATCCCGCACACTCTGCAAACTTCAAGTTGACAAGCTTGTGTCATCCGAGTCAACTCAAAAGTCACTCTGGAAACTTCAAGTTGACATGCTCGAGTCATCTGAGTCGACTCAAAAGAGGTGACTTTTGAGTCGACTCAAAAGTCGCTCTCCATATCTCAAGTTGACAAGCTCATGTCATCTGGGCTGTTGCAGTGGTGCTTCCTGCTTCAGCCACAAATCTTTCAACAATTTCAGCCAGTTCTGCCATTTTCTTTTATAGTTTGGTTTTCATGATACAAGGTGACCAGACCAAATTTGTTTCTTGCCTCTTTTGACCAATCTTGTTTCTTGCTTTCCTTGCAGATGACTGCTGGCAAGCTGACTCCAGAGACTCAAAGGTGGGTGCTTCGATTAAAGGTGGTATATTGACTCTAATCAAGTTCCAACAGAGCATTAGCCATGGCTACATGTATTTACCCTCCGTTTGGAAGCATGGTTATTTCAAAGATTTCTACTCTCCATTGGGAGAGTCATGCCAACTTCCATGACGTCTTTATCTCAACGCTACATTTGATGCCATGCTGTGATGTCTCAACGAACTGTTCGGCCTCATGCCATCTTCTGAGGCGTCTCAACGCTATCTTGGCAGCACGTCAACTTGCAATCTCTCTCTCTCTCTCTCTCTTTTCTCCGTTGCCTTTCCATGGTTCAGGGTCGCCTGGTGGCATCTCCGACCTCTGAGTTTTGAATCGACTCAAAAGTCAGCTCTTGGCAGAACGTCAACTTGAAATCTCTCTCTCTCTCTCTCTCTCTCTCTCTCTCTCTCTCTCTCTCTCTCTCTCTCTCTCTCTCTCTCTCTCTCTCTCTCTCTTCTCCAATGTCTTTCCATGGTTCAGGGTCGCCTGGTGGCATCTCCAGTGTCGTTCTCGTCTGGCATCAAGGCGCTAGCAGTCTACGTGCACAGTAAGGGGCTCAAGCTGGGCCTCTACTCCGATTCTGGGTGAGTCAGTGTGTGTAGATGGCCCTACCAAGGCTTCGGGGGAAGGGGGGGGAGGCTGGGTGGGGCTGGTTGGGGATGGTTCTGTAGACTATGTGCACAGTAAGGGGCTCAACCTGGGTCTCTACTCCGATTCCGGGTGAGGGGGGGGGTGTGATTGCGTGTTTCATGATGGTTGATGTGTGGGGGGCAGGCGGAGAGGGAATAGGGGCTGCAGACTATGGGCACAGCAAGGGGCTCAAGCTGGGGCTCTACTCCGATTCAGGGTGAGCTGGGGGAAAGGTGGTTGTGTACAGAGTTGAGCTGAGCATGGCTGGTCTGGTGACATGGTGGGGGAGGGGAGGAGGGAGAAAGAGAGCGGGGTGAGAGTGAGAGAGATTGAGTGAGTCCTGTGTGTGCAAGCTTACTAAGGCTGATCTCAAATCCACACGCCTCTGCTCTATTCCTCTTCCTCCGACCGATCCCTCCCCTTCCATTGTCCTTGTCTTATCACGAAGCGCACGTGTGCAGGCAAGCCAGGGTCACTCGGGCATGAGGCGATAGACGCCCTCGCCTTCGCTGAATGGGTGAGTCACGAGGTTGATTCAGGTTGCTTGGTCTGCTGCATTGAGTGTCGTTTTTTTTTCCTTTTCTTGGTTCAAGCGACGTGCCTTTTGAGGTGCCTCAAAACTTGATCTGCTGCATTGAGTGTCGTTTTTTTTCCCTTTTCTTGGTTCAAGCGACATGCCTTTGCAGGGCATGTGATCTCAAAATCTAGCTTGACTTAAGCTTAGGAGCCATTGCTAGTTAGGTTCTTAGTAGCTTAGGTTTAGGGTTGAGGAGAGTGTCGAGAAAGTTGAAAGGAGAATGAGGGGTTTACTATAGGTTTGCAACAACATATAGCAAAGGAACAAAGAAGGTGCACCACCAGACAAAGTTTATAATAACTACACTAACTACAGCTACAGGCAGTTACAAATATATTCAAACACTCCCCCATAAGTGCTTTCAGCAGAAGCTAATGCAGAGACACCCCCTGAAGGGGTACACCAAGCGCAGCAGACGGAGAGGGCAAGTGAGGAGGAGGGACTATATGAGGAGAAGCTGCTGGCAGGTGAAGCTGCTGGCTCCAAGGCGGCTGCTTCCTGGAACCTTCCTCAGTCCTCCAACTCCCCTTTCCACACTCCTCGACAACCCTAGCACCTCTCCCCCAGCTCCCCCACACCCTCACACCCACCCCCCTACAGCGGCAGCTGCAGCAGTGGGAGAGAAAGGAGGAGGAGGGGAAGGGGATCACACACACCCATCACCCCCATACCCGCCACCCCCATAGCCTCCGTTCCACGGCTGCACGCGCAGCAAGGAGACGAAGGGGCGACAGAGCAGAACAGAGCGCACGAGGGCGCGGGTAGCAGCAGGGCGCACGAGGGCGCGGGCAGCAGCAGAGCGCACGAGGGCGCAGGCAGACCAGAGCGCACAAGGGCGCGGACAGCAGCAGAGCGGCAACTGGCAGCACATGCACGGGCAGCAACGGGCAGCAACAGGCAGCACAGGCTCGGGCAGCAACAGGTGGCAAAAGGCAGCACAGGCTCGGGCAGCAACGGGCGGCAACAGGCAGCACAGGCACGGGCAGCAACAGGCGGCAACGGGCAGCACAGGCACAGGCAGCAACGGGCGGCAACGGGCAGCACAGGCACAGGCAGCAACAGTCAGCAACGGGCAGCACAGGCACGGGCAGCAACAGGCAGCAACGGGCAGCACAGGCACAGGCAGTAACGGGCGGCAACAGGCAGCACAGGCATGGGCAGCAACAGGCAGCACAGGCACGGGCAGCAACGGGCGGCAACAGGCAGCACAGGCACGGGCAGCAACGGGCGGCAACAGGCAGCACAGGCACGGGCAGCAACGGGCGGCAACGGGGAGCACAGGCACAGGCAGCAACAGGCAGCAACGGGCAGCACAGGCAGGCAGCCGTACCGAGTCCAGGAGCGGCGGCGCATACAGCTGTAGGGTCGACGCCGTGGGCTGCTGCTGGGGCGGCTCGCGGGGTCCAGGGGCGGCTGCTGAGGTCCAGGGGCAGCTGCACCAGGGGCGGCTGCTCCAGGGGCGGCTGCTCCAAGGGCGGCTGCTCCAGGGGCGGCGCTAGTGCAAGGTAGGCCCGCGCGCGGCTGCAACGCTGGCGCGGGCGCAGGTGAGGCAGAGGCGGTGGCCAGGGGGGAGGGCGCCGCGACGAGTAGGAACGGCGCCCAAGGGGTGCCGCTACAAGTAGGGGCGACGCCCTAGGTGCGCTGCGACGAGCAAGGGCGGCGTCCAGGGGGCGCCGCGACGAGCAGTGGCGACGCCCCGCGGGTCCCGCAGTGGCGTCGCGACGAGCAAGGCGACGCCGTGCGGGTCCTGCAGGGGCGTCGCGAGGAGGAGCGGCGACGCCCGGGTCCCGCAGGTGCGTCGCGACGAGCAGGAGCGGCGCCTCGCAGGGCGCCGCGAAGTGGAGGGTACGGGCGGGCAAAACAGGCCCGCGCGTGGACGTGAGGCAGGCGCGCAGGCGGCGTGAAGGCAGGCCACGCGCGGGGCAGGAAGACGCCGTGCGCCCCAAGCACACGGCGGGTAGAAAATCGCCGCGCGCCTGAGGCGCGCGGCAGGACGATAGGCAGCGGAAGCAGGAAGGCAGCAGGAGGACGATACCTGCTCTGATACCATCTCAAAATCTAGCTTGACTTCAGCTTAGGAGCCATTGCTAGTTAGGTTCTTAGTAGCTTAGGTTTAGGGTTGAGGAGAGTGTCGAGAAAGTTGAAAGGAGAATGAGGGGTTCACTATAGGTTTGCAACAACATATAGCAAAGGAACAAAGAAGGTGCACCACCAAACAAAGTTTATAATAACTACACTAACTACAGCTACAGGCAGTTACAAATATATTCTGACATGTGAGGCATTAACGCGGGTCCACCATTGCATAATTCAATTTAACAGTGCATGGCATGTCCTATGACAGAATCCCGGCTGCATCTTGTAGCAGCGATCACTTTTGAGAATCACTTTTGAGAATTCTCAAAAGTGATTTCCTGCTGCATCATGTAGCAGCGATCTGACCAGTGCGTGCTCTGTGGGAGGGTGATATGTTCGAGCGTGTGTTTTTTGAGATTTCTAAAAAAACCCCTGCTGCATCATGTAGCAGCGATCTGACTAGTGCGTGCTCTGCTGCCACCTGCATGATGACTAATGTCTGCCTTCTCCTATCTGCCGGCCATTCTGTGGGCTTTGTTCTTATACCTGATTTTGTTCCAATGTGATGCCAGGGAGTGGACTATGTCAAATACGACACCTGCTACGACGATGGAACTCCCACCAAGAGAGGGTAAGCCCTGTCTGACTCGCTCCTGTCCGACTCGCTCTTGTTGACCCAAGACGACAAACTCACCTTGTCCTTTCTTCCCCCGTCTATCTGAAGGTCCCCTCTGTCTGCTTGTACTTGCTTGGTCATGCATTTTCTTGTGCTCTTACACTGTCCTTGCCTTGTTCTTTTCTCTCCATATTTCTCCCCTGCCTTCCTCCTATCCATACTTCGTTGTTGGATGCCCATCATCAATCCTCAGACTCACAGCCATGCGCAATGCATTGGAGGCCACTGGGAGACACATCTCAGTGTCCATGTGTGAAGGGTGAGTGGCAAATATGGGTGAATGATGAGTGAGCACCCCATGCCTGGCAATCACCTCTCTCAGCCACACGGCCATGCGCAATGCGTTGGAGGCCACTGGGAGAGACATCTCAATCTCCATCCATGTGTGAAGGGTGAGTTGGGATGGGAGGATCCCTTTTTTTTAGGCGCCTCAAAACAAGAGAGGCATCTCGGTCTCCATGTGTGAAGGGTGAGATGGGAGGATCTCTTATGAGAGGACGGCATGTGCTGCAACCTCCTTATGCCACATGGCACATATGCTGCAACCTCCTTATGCCACATGGCACATGTGCTGCTACCTCCTTCCACCACGTGAACTGCGAAGTCATTCTGCCACGTGTGCTGCTACCTCCGTCTGCCATGTGTACTGCTAACTCATTGTGCCACGTGTGCTGCTGGTTGCAGGGGACAGGACACCTCTGCACTGTGGGCGTATGGCGTGGCAGATCCGTGGCGCACCACCCTTGCCATTGATGACACGTGGAGGAGGTGAGGGACACGTGGCTGAAGGGAGGAGTGACACGCGGCTGGTGCAATTTTGAGGAAAATCAAGTGGCATGGGAGGGAGATGGAAGTTTGCTTTCGAGGCGCCTCAAAACGAAAATCAAGAGGCATGGGAGGAGATGGAGAGGATTGAGCTAGATGGAGAGGATTGAGCTAGATGGAGCATGGAGGGAGGGAGAGATGGAAGGACAATGCTCATGATATATTCTCAAGCTCAATGATTCCATCTTTATTCCCTGCCTGCATGCATGTATCGTGCCTCCTTGCATGCACACGTGTATGCATATGGCACATGCAGCATGACTTGGGTTTCAGACGGCAACAACTAGTGGGCCAAATATGCCGACCCACACAGAAATTTGCGTGAATGGTGCGTGCAGCCACACAGACAGAAGTTTGCTTTTTACGTTGGCGCTCAAGTGTTGTTGCAATTGTCGCCACGCGTTCCAAGCGTGTCACAAGGTGTTCATGTTCTGTTAACTCTCTCTCAACCCTCCACTCCCCTATGATCTTCCCCTACCTCCACTATTGTCTCCCTCCTCTATCAGACTTGGACATTCTGCAGGTGGTGAAGTTTGGAATGGGAGAGTCGGTGTACCATGTGCACTTCAATCGCTGGGTCATCATGAAGGTGAGGACACCCCCCTGCATGCTTACATGCATGCATGCACGTATGCATGTGCTCCATGTAGCATGTGGCAAAGGGTGGCATGGGAGAGCCGGTGTACCATGTGCACTTCAATCGCTGGGCCATCATGAAGGTGAGGACACCCTCCTGCTTGCTAACATGCATGCATGCGCGTATGCATGTGCTCCATGTAGCATGTGGCAAAGGGTGGCATGGGAGAGTCGGCGTACCATGTGCACTTCAATCGCTGGGCCATCATGAAGGTGACGACACACTCCTGCATGCATGCATACACACATGCACGCATGCATGCATGCAGTTCTGCATGTGCGCATACAAAATGCTCCATGCATGCACACATGCTTTCATGGATGCACATGCACGCCTGTACGCACACACAGCTTCTCGTACCAACCTCTTGTGCGCTGCACTCAATGCAACAGCACCCACCTTTTTACCTCCCACAGGTGCCACTCCTGCCGGCCTGTGCATTCTCTGCTACATCGGAACCAGCCATGAGCATACTCAGCACCGACGAGGCTATTGCCCTCAACCAAGGTGCGCACATGCAAGGTGCGATGTACTCGACTCATGCATGTAGGTCCTCGATTCAAAGGTCTCTCTGCTGCATCGGAACCATCCATTAGCATCCTGAGCACCGATGAGGCCATTTCTCTCAACCAAGGTATGCACATGCAAGGTGCGTGTGAGGTACTCGACTCATGCATGTAGGTCCTTGATCGAAGCCAGCCATGACCATTCTCAGCACCGACGAGGCCATCACCCTCAACCAAGGTATGCATGCAAGCAGGCTCGGTGTTAAGGCAAGCAATGTTTGTGAGCTCATGCAGATGTTTCATTGCATGCCACCTGCTTGGCTTATGCTGACACGTGCCATACTGTGATTGGTGCAGATTCATTGGGAGTGCAGGCTCAGAAGGTGCAACTATCCAAGGGATCTCCGGTAAAAGTGAGAACATTAAACCTTCTCTTGCTCTCTGTGCCTTGCATGCGTGTGACCATAGTGAGGTTTTTGCGTGCTGACTGACAGACTTGATTCTAAGTGCATGGCTTACAACAATTCGCTCCATATGCATTGGAATCACAATGCTCATTTTCTGTCTTTGATCCGCGCTACCTGTTCACGAACCTGCAGGTCTGGATGGGATCTCTATCGGAGGGTCGGAAAGTGGTGGCACTGGTGAACCGTGGCAAGAGGAGCCAGAATGTGACTGTAACTTGGGAAGCGATCGGGCTAAACCCAGAGCAGCGGATGCATGCACGAGACCTGTGGAAGGTATGTGTGTTCGCATGCACCATGTCTCTTTACTTCCCCACCTCCCCCTCTCACCTATCCTTTCGGGCTGAATCCGGAGCAGCTGATGCATGCACGAGACCTGTCCAAGGTGTGTGTATCCGTCTTGCCTCACAAACTTTCCTGGGCCTGGGTTCTTATTCTCATCCTGAAGATGTAGTATGCATGCAGGCACATGCACACACCACATGCATGCACGTGCTTCAATATACGCACACATGTAGCACAATAGATATTCTCATATTTAAGCTCTTCGTGGCGTGAAACCTTTGTTGCAGGAACCCACCTTGAACTCGAAGTCTAAAGAGCTGACTACCCATGTTGCAAGCCATGGTGTGCGATTATTTGTTCTCTGGCCCATAAGAGATGGCAATCTCGATTGAATCAAATGTTTCGGGGCAACAAAGGTTCTAGCAACATGTAGAACATAAAAAATATGTTGATGTTCTCTCGTTGCTGCTTATGGTGGATACTACACTAAACATATTGGAAAGGTTTTTTATTTTTATTTTTGCCTTTTGTTATGGTAAAACAGTTGGCCTTCCAAACTGTGTGGTTTATAAGTACTTCAATAAAAATGTATTACTGTGTTTACATGTACATTTCAAGTGCTATGATTAGTATGCCATTTTGTTAGAGGTAAATAGCTACCTTCAAGCCCACTTTGGTCTAAGGGGCCTGAAAGATGACATTATCCATCCACACTGTAGGCGCTTGTGCGCAAATGTGATGAGATATCAGTCTTAGTAGTCAGAAAGAATGACATGTACGAGTCCTATTTCCCAGCTCCTCATACCGATGCTTGTTATTCCGGAAAGTCCACCGAACGGTTAGGAGGTGCGGCCGGAAAGTCCACCGAACGGTTAGGAGGTGCGGTGATCGGTGGTGTGGGAGGATTTGCCTCCATACAAAATTCTGGGTTTCGGGGCTGAAAGCCCAGCCACTGCGCCGCTTTGTAACGCTTTGACTGCTTGAAAAGCCGTGACAAAACCACATGAAAACCGAGTCACCGCAGCTCTGCATTAATCTAAAACACACAATTCCCCAGCACGCACACGCAGGCCTGCAGGCCATTCTCCATCATGCTGTTCGAGACTCAAAACTCGCTATCCTGAGCTCTTGCTTGCTCAGGTCAGGTCAAGTCGTTCAGGGAGCTTGAGTATTTTGGCTGTAAACTTGCCGTCCTTTCTTTCCTTACACGTCTTCCTTGCTTGCACCAAGCTACAGTGCGTCCCTTCCCACGCTCTTTCCCACGGTCCGTCCTCCCATACGAACACGCGTGCATGAAGATGCACAGTTCCCATGACTTACCGGCCAAGGAATTCTCGAGAATCAGTTAGGGCGTATCCCTGGGTGGTGGCAGGCAAACTGTAGCTGGCACTGTTGGTGGCATGCGCATTTTCCGGGCCCCTGTGTTTTTGGGAAAGTTGCCACCAACCTTGCCAGCTACAGTGGCCCTGCCACCAGCCAGGGATACGCCCTTACACAAACAAGAAACTGTCTACCTTGAAGGCGTGGATGTCTTGTCCAATGTTGTCAATCAATGGTTGTCAAGACCTCATGACGACCTGACATGACATGACACCTATACCTCATAGTCAGTCCTTGACTGTCAACTATCCAACGACCATTGACAGAAAATGATATCGGAAACTCGAATAATCTGTACACTGTGATTAGCTTTTGTAAACTTCCGATTCTTTCATGTATGATCATGGTGTAATCTTTCAAGCTTATCACGATCATTAGCCCCAGAGCTGCGGATCTATGCGCGACTGCAGCCTCTACCATTTCCTTTGGCGAGGACAACGCATCCGCCTTTGAGGCGCCTCACTATCAGTCATCTCTCGGAAGCGCGACTGCATGGTCCCTATTCCACTACCACTCCTTGGCGACGACAATGCAGCCGTTTTTTTAGGCGCCTCAATATTAGTCGGCTCTTACTAAGCGGGCCGCGACTGCATGGTCCCTACTACCACTGCTTGGCGACGACGATGCAGCCGCCGATGCCGGGTTTAAGAACCATCAGGAGTAGCTTGTTCGGTGCGGCTCGGTTTGCGACGGTCGAAAGGGGACAGTGGACGTGCGGGAAACAGCGAACGCTGGGAGCGAAACAGCGCACGCCGGGTGCGAAGCCGCGGCAGCGCAGTACTGCGGGTGCACGGAGACAGCATCAAAATAATGTGACCGTTGAGACGTCTCAAACGACTCTCCGAAAACGGCGATGGATGCAACCTGCGACTTCTGAGACGTGTCAAAGTACGAGGCGGCGGAGGAGATGGAGAGCGCATGATGCGCTCACTTACGCCCTCTTGCTCGCCTTAGCTTTTGTGAGTCCGCTCATTCCACCCACAGAAAGCTTTTTAGCTTTAGTTGAACACTAAAGTTTAGGACCGTCGTGAATCGGTGAAAGTCGCTTTGCATCTTCCTCTCGCTCGCCCTCTCGCTCGCTCACCTTAGCTGGTCCAACGCTCGCTCGCCTTCTTTGGGAGTCCTCCCATTCCAGACACTTCAAAACAAGTTTCTGGTGGGGCGGGAGAAGGGGGCGGGAGAGGACCGTACTTTTCCAAAGGACCGTTTGAGGAGGGGGGTGACTTAACGTGTCCAAGGAGGCTGTTGAGCTTGTTAAGGAAGGTTCAACCTTCGTTTTAATAGCATCTGCAGCCTCGTGTACTTCTTTGTCAGGATCGCCTTCTTTGTGGGATCGCCTTCTTTGCGAGTCCTGTTCCATACACAGGCTCGGCTTGTCACTCAAATGAATCTAAAGTCGTCTCGGCATGAAACGGCTTAGACAGAGTGTGAAACGGCTCAGACAGAGTGTGAAACGGCTCAGACAGAGTGTGAAACGGCTCAGACAGAGTGTGAAACGGCTCAGACAGAGTATGAAACGGCTCAGACAGAGTGTGAAACGGCTCAGACAGAGTGTGAAACGGCTCAGACAGAGTATGAAACGGCTCAGACAGAGTATGAAACGGCTCAGACAGAGTGTGAAACGGCTCAGACAGAGTATGAAACGGCTCAGACAGAGTATGAAACGGCTCAGACAGAGTATGAAACGGCTCAGACAGTATGAAACGGCTCAGACAGAGTATGAAACGACTCAGACAGAGTATGAAACGGCTCAGACAGAGTATGAAACGGCTCAGACATAGTATGAAACGGCTCAGACAGAGTATGAAACGGCTCAGACAGAGTATGAAACGGCTCAGACAGAGTATGAAACGGCTCAGACAGAGTATGAAACGGCTCAGACAGAGTATGAAACGGCTCAGACAGAGTATGAAACGGCTCAGACAGAGTATGAAACGGCTCAGACAGAGTATGAAACGGCTCAGACAGAGTATGAAACGGCTCAGACAGAGTATGAAACGGCTCAGACAGAGTATGAAACGGCTCAGACAGAGTATGAAACGGCTCAGACAGAGTATGAAACGGCTCAGACAGAGTATGAAACGGCTCAGACAGAGTATGAAACGGCTCAGACAGAGTATGAAACGGCTCAGACAGAGTATGAAACGGCTCAGACAGAGTATGAAACGGCTCAGACAGAGTATGAAACGGCTCAGACAGAGTATGAAACGGCTCAGACAGAGTATGAAACGACTCAGACAGAGTATGAAACGGCTCAGACAGAGTATGAAACGGCTCAGACAGAGTATGAAACGGCTCAGACAGAGTATGAAACGGCTCAGACAGAGTATGAAACGGCTCAGACAGAGTATGAAACGGCTCAGACAGAGTATGAAGCCCCTCAGACAGAGGGATCCGGATTCACTCAAGTGATCCGGGCTTTAGAATGATCCGGATTCATTAAAATTCTTACAGGAAGTCTCGTTCTGAGGATCAGTGAATTATGCTCCATAATAAGATTTTTTTTTTTTTTTTTTAAGCAGTGAGTCTTGTTCCTTCATTGGGTTGGATTCGCACCTTAATTCTTCAGATGAGACCACTCATTCCCCCTCTCGCCCATTTATGCTCTCTCTTCCTCTTCTCTGTTAAACCACCACCAACCGTTCCTTGTTAACCCATCCCATCTTCCCCCTCTTCTGCCCGTCCTTCCTTCTGCCCTTCTCACCTTCTTCCCTTGTCACATTCTCCTCTTCTCCTCTCCTCCCCTCCTCCCCTCCTCCTCTCCTCCTCTCGTCCCCTTCTCCCCTCCTCCCCTTCTCCCCTTGTCCCCATCCCACCTTCTTCCTTCTCCCCTTCCCCTCTTCCCCCATTCCACCGTCTGCCCTCCCCTTTCGCCCTGCCACCAGCTTCTCCCCTCCTCTGCATCCCTCCGCCTCCCCCCTCGCGCCCATCCTCGATGTCTCCTTCTCAGACGCCCTCTGTGGCACCCTGGCGACTCGCTATGCCTTCCTGCACACCTTTTCCCGTCCCCTACCCCCCAACCCCCTCTCTCTTCCTCACCCTCCTTCCCCATACCAACAGCTTTCGCCCCCGCTGCATGCGTCCGCCTCCCCCCTCGCGCCCTTCCTCGACGTCACCTTCTCAGACGCCCTCTGTGGCACCTGGGCGACAGACTACGCCGCCCTGCACGCGCGCATCCGCGAAACCGGCCGCTCTCACGCCCCCACCCTCGCCCAAACCGCTGCCGCCGCCGCCAACGCTGCCGCCGCTGCTGCTACCGGTGGTGCTGCAGCAACAGCACTACCACCACCACCGCCACCACCATCGCCATCACCATCACCATCACCATCATCACCAGCCACCCCGTCCGTCCCTCCTCCATCCCCTCCTCCCCCGGCCTCATACCCCCAGCCCCGTCTAGACCCCTCCATTCGCTTCCTAACCTTTGAATGGCTTGACGAGCCTGGAGGCTTGGGGGATTATATTACTGGGCTAGCCACGGCGTTTGCCTGCGCGCTCCTCACGCGCCGAGCCTTCATCGTCCGGCACCCGTACCTCCCGCTCGCGTTCGCGCCGAACCTCGTTGATTGGTCGTTCGGGCCGGACGTGCCTTATGAGCCGGCTCGGAAGCTGACAGTTGATGAAGTATTGGCTAGAGTGGGAGAGAAGGGAGGAGAAGGAGGCGGAGGAGGAGGAGGGGGAGGAGGAGGGGGAGGAGGAGGGAAGGGAGAGTTGGTGCAGGAGGGGGAGGTGGTGATAGTGAATCTGAGGAACCGGTTTGTGGAACCAGAGGAGTTCTTTGCGGTGCTGGATGGTGCGATGAACATCCGAGTGTCGTGGAACAGGGGTCTGCTCACCTACCTGCTCGCACAGGTGAGGGGGAGTGGAGTGGTGGGTCGCACAGGTGGGTGTAGTGGTGCTGTGGTGGAAGAGAGGTGTTTCTTGAAAGTCGTCTCAGAGCAGGAGTAGTTAGCTGTGCTGGATAGGGTGATGATCATCTGAGACGACTTTTGAGGCGCCTCAAAAGTCGTCTCAGAGCAGGAGTAGTTAGCTGTGCTGGATAGGGTGATGATCATCTGAGACGACTTTTGAGGCGCCTCAAAAGTCGTCTCAGAGCAGGAGTAGTTAGCTGTGCTGGATAGGGTGATGATCATCCGCGTGTCGTGGAATAGGGGACTGCTTTCATCCTTGCTTGCATCGCACAGGTGAGAAGTATTGTAGCGGCTTTTGAGAAGTCTCAAAAGTGAGGAGTAGTGTAGCGAGGTGACTTTTGAGTCGACTCAAAAGTTGCTCGCACAGGTGAGAAGTGTAGTGTAGCGGAGTGGTGGTGGTGTGCAGGAAAGAGGTGGTTTCTGAGATGTCTCATATAAGTTGTTCTTTGCGGTGCTGGATAGAGGTGGTTTCTTTGCGGTGCTGGATAGGGCAATGAACATCTGCGTGTCGTTGATTTTGAGAATTCTCAAAATCAACCTCAAACACAATGAACATCCGCGTGTCGTGGAACAGAAGGCTACTCACGTCGTACCTGCTTGCACAGGTGGGTTTGTGGAGTGTTGTTGTGGAGGAAAAGGGTGATAAGAACTGGAAGTGAGCTTCTAGACACGAAATCCTAAACCCGAAGTCCGAAACCCTAAATCTTTCACACGCGGGCTCCCTCGTTTTCTTCTATTATGATCTCTACCTCAACTTGTCGCTCACAGGCGGTGGGGAAGAGGTGGACTGGCTAGTGTGTCTGCATGTGACAGGCATACGCCCGCCTTGTGGCACACGCCCACCCTGTGGCACACGCCCGCCCTGTGGCATACGCCCGCCCTGTGGCACACGCCCGCCCTGTGGCACACGCCCGCCCTGTGGCACACGCCCGCCCTGTGGCATACGCCCGCCCTGTGGCATACGCCCGGCCTGTGGCATACGCCCGGCCTGTGGCATACGCCTGCCCTGTGGCATAGGCTATTGTGCTCATGTCTTAACTGTACCTGTGGTGTGCTCATGTGCTCCTGTGCTCTCCAACCCACCTCTCACCCCGTTGTCCACAGGCGGTGGGAAAGAAATGGACTGCCAGCCTGCACGCATTAGGCATACGCCCTCCCTACGCCTTTGGCTGCATACTTCGCTTCCTTCTCAAGTACGATCCCATGGTCACACTGTGTTGTTATTGTAGCTCCCTCCCATGCGCCCTCCCTCTCATACGCCCCCCCTCCCATACGCCCTCCCTCCCATACGCCCGCCCTACGCCTTTGGCTGCATACTGCGCTTCCTTCTCAAGTACGATCCTATCCTATCTTCACACAGTGTTCTAGTGGCTCCCTCACTGCGACCTCCCTCACTGCGACCTCCCTCACTGCGACCTCCCTCACTGCGACCTCCCTCAGATGCGTCCTCCTTCCTACGCCTTTGGCTTTATTCTTGGCTTCCTATCAGCAGCTTACCTATGTTTTTATCGTCGCTCGTATTCTGCTCACACCTCTCATAGCCCTAGTATGTGGTGCTATCTAATGAACTTTTAGTTGCCACCCCAACCCTCCCCTCCCCCTGCTTTCCCCCACCAGACCACAGGCAGACGTCTTTTTAAATGTACTCAAATGTACTCAAAATAAAAAAATGCACAAGACATGTATCACCCCTTGATGTCGTTGTGTTCAGTCCAATTGACCGAACACACGCATGTCCCAACTCGGCCCCTTCCCACCTTTATCCATTCTCGCCCTCTTACCCCCACCCCAACCCCCCTTTTTCCTCCACCAGACCACAGCCAGAAAGCACATCAAAGCGCCAAGCATGTACCACCCCCTGCCTTCGTTCTGTTCTGTCCAATTGAACGAACACATGCATGTCACAACTCTGCCCCTTCCCACCCCTCTCCACCCCTATCCCTCCTCGCCCTCTTCCCGTTTCCCCTCACCAGGCCATCAGGCCACAGCCTGAAGGCACATGAAAGCTCCAAGCCGCCCCTTTTCCCACCCATCTCCCCCACCCCGCCTCAGCCAGTAGGCAAAATGACTTTTGAGTCGACTCAAAAGCCGACCCCCCTTTTCTCACCATCCCCCCCACCATGCCTCAGCCAGAAGGCAAAAGCAAACGTCAAGCCATGTACCGTCAAGCCATGTACCGCCAAGCCATGTACCGCCAAGCCATGTACCGTCAAGCCATGTACCGTCAAGCCATGTACCGTCAAGCCATGTACCGTCAAGCCATGTACCGTCAAGCCATGTACCGTCAAGCCATGTACCGTCAAGCCATGTACCGTCAAGCCATGTACCGTCAAGCCATGTACCGTCAAGCCATGTACCGTCAAGCCATGTACCGCAAGCCATGTACCGCCAAGCCATGTACCGTCAAGCCATGTACCGTCAAGCCATGTACCGCCAAGCCATGTACCGTCAAGCCATGTACCGTCAAGCCATGTACCGTCAAGCCATGTACCGTCAAGCCATGTACCGTCAAGCCATGTACCGTCAAGCCATGTACCGTCAAGCCATGTACCGTCAAGCCATGTACCGTCAAGCCATGTACCGTCAAGCCATGTACCGTCAAGCCATGTACCGCCAAGCCATGTACCGTCAAGCCATGTACCGTCAAGCCATGTACCGTCAAGCCATGTACCGCCAAGCCATGTACCGCCAAGCCATGTACCGTCAAGCCATGTACCGTCAAGCCATGTACCGTCAAGCCATGTACCGCCAAGCCATGTACCGCCAAGCCATGTACCGTCAAGCCATGTACCGTCAAGCCATGTACCGCCAAGCCATGTACCGTCAAGCCATGTACCGTCAAGCCATGTACCGTCAAGCCATGTACCGTCAAGCCATGTACCGCCAAGCCATGTACCGTCAAGCCATGTACCGTCAAGCCATGTACCGCCAAGCCATGTACCGCCAAGCCATGTACCGTCAAGCCATGTACCGTCAAGCCATGTACCGTCAAGCCATGTACCGTCAAGCCATGTACCGCCAAGCCATGTACCGTCAAGCCATGTACCGTCAAGCCATGTACCGTCAAGCCATGTACCGCCAAGCCATGTACCGTCAAGCCATGTACCGTCAAGCCATGTACCGTCAAGCCATGTACCGCCAAGCCATGTACCGCCAAGCCATGTACCGTCAAGCCATGTACCGTCAAGCCATGTACCGTCAAGCCATGTACCGTCAAGCCATGTACCGCCAAGCCATGTACCGTCAAGCCATGTACCGTCAAGCCATGTACCGTCAAGCCATGTACCGTCAAGCCATGTACCGTCAAGCCATGTACCGTCAAGCCATGTACCGTCAAGCCATGTACCGCCAAGCCATGTACCGTCAAGCCATGTACCGTCAAGCCATGTACCGTCAAGCCATGTACCGCCAAGCCATGTACCGCCAAGCCATGTACCGTCAAGCCATGTACCGTCAAGCCATGTACCGTCAAGCCATGTACCGCCAAGCCATGTACCGTCAAGCCATGTACCGTCAAGCCATGTACCGTCAAGCCATGTACCGCCAAGCCATGTACCGTCAAGCCATGTACCGTCAAGCCATGTACCGTCAAGCCATGTACCGTCAAGCCATGTACCGCCAAGCCATGTACCGTCAAGCCATGTACCGTCAAGCCATGTACCGCCAAGCCATGTACCGCCAAGCCATGTACCGTCAAGCCATGTACCGTCAAGCCATGTACCGTCAAGCCATGTACCGTCAAGCCATGTACCGCCAAGCCATGTACCGTCAAGCCATGTACCGTCAAGCCATGTACCGTCAAGCCATGTACCGCCAAGCCATGTACCGTCAAGCCATGTACCGCCAAGCCATGTACCGTCAAGCCATGTACCGTCAAGCCATGTACCGTCAAGCCATGTACCGCCAAGCCATGTACCGTCAAGCCATGTACCGCCAAGCCATGTACCGCCAAGCCATGTACCGCCAAGCCATGTACCGCCAAGCCATGTACCGCCAAGCCATGTACCGTCAAGCCATGTACCGTCAAGCCATGTACCGCCAAGCCATGTACCGCCAAGCCATGTACCGTCAAGCCATGTACCGTCAAGCCATGTACCGCCAAGCCATGTACCGCCAAGCCATGTAAAGTCAAGCCATGTACCGCCAAGCCATGTACCGCCAAGCCATGTACCGCCAAGCCATGTAAAGTCAACTGCTCTCCTTTGTGTTCACTCCACCAAAAGCCCTCATGCCCTCCTACCCATCGCCCCCTCCCTCGTCCTCCCCCCACCAGGCCGCAACCAGAAGTCATATCAAAACTGCAAGCCATGTATCATCAACTCCTCGCGCCTCTCAACTCCTCCTCCTCCTCCTCCTCCTCCTCTCCCTCCGCCCCCCTCCAACATCTCACCACCGGCCATCCACGCACCTCCCATCTATCCTCCCACGCCGCACATGGCTTCTCACATGGGCCTGCACATGCGATGTCAGGCCTTAGGGTGAAGGTGGTGGGGATACACATGAGAGCTCCGGACAAGTTCGTGTGGCAGGGGCAGCAGGGGTTTGGAGATCCCAAGGCTATGAGTGAGACAGATAAGGAAAAGCTCATGGCGTGGGCTGAAGACTACATTGCATGTGCCCAGGTGGGTGGGTGGGTGGGTGGGTGGGGGGCGGGAGGGATTAGGGTTCCTTGTGGTTACCCTGTTTGATTACGCATGGTTGCATGTGTGCGAAGGGGTTTGGGTTGGGGATCCCAAGGCCATGAGTGAGACGGATAAGGAAAGGCACATGGCGTGGGCTGAAGACTACATTGCATGTGCCCAGGTGGGTGGGAGGGCGTGTGGAGGGATCAAATCCCTGTGTGGTTACCCTGTTTGAATGGGCATGGTTACTTGTGTAAGAAGGGGTTTGGAGATCCCAAGGCTATGAGTGAGACGCATAAGGAAAAGCTGTGGGCACCCTGTGGAGGCCTGGTGGGCACCCTGTGGAGGCCTGGTGGGCACTCTGTGGAGCCCTTGTGGGTGCCCGCTCGAGTCGACGCTAATTACACCTTCCTTGTGGCCCCCATTGCCCCCTGCATCGTGCTCATGCCCCCCCCCCCCCCCTGCATCGTCTTCCTACAGAAGCTGGAGGCGTGGTGGAAGCCTGCCTGCTCCCACCATCGTACGCTGGAGGCCTGGTGGGTGCATGCTTGAGTCGACGCTGAAGACACCTTCCTTGTGCCCCCCGTTGCTCCCTGCATCGTGCTCATGCCCCCTGCATCGTCTTCCTACAGAAGCTGGAAGCGTGGTGGATGCCGGCTCCCACCATTCTTCACCCTTTTGGCACCCTGTGGAGCCCTAGTGGGTGCGCGCTCGATTCAACGCTGAAGACACCTTCCTTGTGCCCCCATTGCCCCCTGCATCGTGTTCCTGCAGAAGCTGGAGGCGTGGTGGATGCCGGCTCCCACCATGGTTCGGTGGCTTGTCATTAGCAACTCGCACGTGCTCAAGACAGCCCTTCGACTCAAGTACCCTGACAAGGTGTGTGCTCCTCTCCCTCTTTCGAGTCAAGCCGAAGGTTTCAGGTGACTTATGAGTCACCTCTGGTTCAACTCGCATGAGCTCAAGACAGCCCTTCGACTCAAGTACCCTGACAAGGTGTGTGCTTTTCATCTCTTTCGAGTCAAGTCAAGGTGAGACAAGGTTTCAGGTGACTTGTAAGTCAACCTCTGGTTCAACTCACACGTGCTCAAGACAGCCCTTCGACTCAAGTACCCTGACAAGGTGTGTGCTTTTCTATCTCCCTTTCAGCCAACTCAAGAGTCAAATCTTCTTCTTTCAGGATGCCGGATCAATCACCCTCACAATGTCAGATTCTCAGAGCGACTTAAGAGTTGACCCTAACGTTTTTAACGTCAGCAGTACACCCCTAAGCTAAAAAACATCTCTGTCCCATGCAGACTGGTGCCTGCCTATTGTCATCATCCTGCTTGGTTGTGTGACAAGTTGTGGGCTCATGCAAAATTCCACAACCTGGGACGCTTCTAAACACCACAAAGTACCCATTTCCGAATTCCTCCTTATGATCATCCCCGTTAATGGCAGGTTGTGATTTCAGATACCGTCCCTCTACATGCCAACATTCTGACACCCACTTCTGATACCAATTCCTCCTCGGCATCCTCGTCAACACAAGCTACCAAGGCGAAGGGAGCATCAACCTACATTGATATTGTCGTAGACTGGCTGCTTTTAGCATCAACTGATGTTCTTCTGTTATCTCACTCGGGGTTTTCCCATTCTGCAGCATTCTTCTCGCAACGCCTAACGTCCACCTATGTCCCGAAACATTGCAACCCGGAAATTCCTGTGGATACGCGCGCTATAGGGCGAATCTGGAGTGGAATATGAATTCCTATTGCTCAACACTGGTTGATAGCCGGTTGAAAGCGTATCCAGTCAGTTCTTGCACAATCAATGCCCCTTGGCAGTTGTATATGTTAGAGATCCTGATTCTGTATGTTTTTTTCTTTAATTCTTGGTATTGTGTGGTCGACTCCCAATGGTCTTCTTCCTGTGAGAAATCAAATATGATTGCCCATCTGAAGTGCATTATGAACCTTTCAGGATAGTTGAGGCTCTAGAGTATTTTTAGACATATTCGTTACACACAGGTAAGATACACTATTTTTTATGATTGAATTACTGTTTGTCTGAAATCAGAGCTTGGTCACTGAGAGAATTTCTCCAGACCCGGAAACGGTGATTTGCCGTTGCACACGTGGCGTCGAATTGCTACCGTGGTCGGACAATTTGATGATAATTGCTCGAGTGGTCTTGCCAGAGGTTTCCTCTGGCTTTTTTTTTATCCGGCACATTACCCAAAACCGGTTTTTAGCCCTGCTTTTCTTACATCGTTCGTGTCTCTTCCCGCAAAAACGTGGCGTGTGGATTTCCGCCCGAAATTTTAGGCTGGGTGACGTGCGCGAGGTCGGCCACGTCACCGCTCGAATACACGAGAATAATCAACACGATCATCTTGGGCGAACAGTCGCGCTCATTTTCGGTCCAATTCTTGACCAATCCGTGCATAGAGATATGAATCCCTGATCATATACTCAGTTGCACGACTGCCGGCAACGCCTCACAAGTTTCCCAAACTTCGCCTTGGTGCGGCAGTTGGCGAGCTTCTTGAAGAGGTCCGAGGCGTTGGGCCCAAACTTTAGCACATTTTGCTCCAAATGCCAGCTGCAAAAATAGTGGGGAAGCTGTAATGGGAACACTTCTTTAACAGCAGGAATCAACCCCTTGTCGCGGTCACTAATAAGGGAGGCATTCTGTGTGGTTGGCCAAGATGGAATATGCTTCAACAAGTTCTCACAAAACCACTTCCAACTGTCCTTATTCTCACTCTCGCATAGGCCGTACGCGAGTGGAACAAGCTGGTTATTCCCATCCTTAGCAGCTGCAACCAAGAGCGTAGCATGCTGTGCCCGAATGAGAAACGTGCCATCCATACTAATGACCGGTCGGCAGAACCTTAGGGCAGTTTTCGATGCCGATGGGGCGGCAAAAGCACGGAAGAAAGCGTGATCCTTCGTCACAAGGTCGAGCGTTGATTCAGGGTCAATCGACCTGAAGCGTTCCAACAGGCGAGGGATGTAACGAAACGATGTTTTCCAATCTCCAAACCGCTCCTTCAACATCTTTTCCTTGAGCCTGCGATGATTGGTGATAACGTGCAAGACAGTATAGGCATGTAGCACGAACATGAGAGACATTGTGTGGGTAATCATGAACATTTCTTTATGGTACACGGATGAGATGGAAGGTTGGGAACCACAATAGAATGATATAATACTTACCTCCAAGATTGATGATAATTGATGTCAGGACCGCCGGTCGACGCAATCTGATCCTTGTAAGTCCCGGGAGGGTGATGTGGAGCGGCGTGGACAAGGTTCCCATGATGACGCTGTAGATAAGCTACTTTATTTGTAGTGTGGTTCACGTAGCGGTCCCGATCAACGGGTGAGCAACAATGAGATGTTGGGGCGGACAGTTTATCAACACGCCAAAACCCACCCGCTCCGTCAGTCGAGTACTCACACCGCCACTTGCAAGCTGGTTTACGTCGCTCATGGTGACTCATGCATATAGTGCGGGCTCTGTTTGGCCTACTCTCTGAAACCCTAAAACCGAAGTTGTGGGCTACGGAATAATCTTCCAACGCCTCGTACAGGAATTTCTTCGAGGAGTACAGTTGACCTTCACACAACGGGGCTCGATCGTTTATCACTAATGGTGGCGAATGATTATCTTCATCCGTCATGTTTCGGAGCAATGCACGGTACATATCACTCTGCTTGGGCTCTCCAGTGCCAACAAAACAAAACTTCGTATCTTTGTCGCCTGAGTCGTACTCTGTATTAGTAGTATTAGATGACGAACCCATTGCGGCTAGTAGAAATGTTCCAACTGAATTACCTCCTAGAAGAGTTACGGGAACACAGTAGGATGTCAACCCTAAAACGACGACAGAATAGGGTGTGTGAGGTGTGTTGCATCACTTTTTTAAAAAATGCGCGGGATATTGACGTAGCGTTTCAATTTGACTCTAAATGGCCACAGGTTTTGTTTCGGCGTGTGTACCTTTTGTAGGATTCGTCAGTTTAAACAAATAATCCATTTCCAGTAGCGCGATCTCATATGGGCGTGACCCTATATGAGCGCGCCTGATTGGACGCGCAAGGTCAGAAAAGGCCCCGCGCATAAAATTGACCAATCAGACGCGCTCAGTAATTGGTCGCGCGTGTGGACAGTCGTGCAACTGAGTATATGATCGGGGATTCATATCTCTATGCGCGGATTGGTCAAGAATTGGACCGAAAATGAACGCGACTGTTCGCCCAAGATGACTGTGTTGATTATTGTCGTGTATTCGAGCGGTGACGTGGCCGCCCTCGCGCACGTCACCCAGCCTAAAATTTCGGGCGGAAATCCACACGCCACGTTTTTGCGGGAAGAGACACGAACGATGTAAGAAAAGCAGGGCTAAAAACCGGTTTTGGGTAATGTGCCGGATAAAAAAAAAGCCAGAGGAAACCTCTGGCAAGACCACTCGAGCAATTATCATCGAATTGTCCGACCACGGTAGCAATTCGACGCCACGTGTGCAACGGCAAATCACCGTTTCCGGGTCTGGAGAAATTCTCCCTTGGTCACTGCCACGCTAAACGTGACAAGGAATCGCCCACGTCCAGGTCAGGGGGATCCACATGTGGAGGTTGTCCAAACAGACCGCAACAGCATCGCTTGTCCACGCGTGCGAAGGCCCAAAAGCACTGGCTGCCGGGTCAACCCCTCGCTGGCAGATGCAGAGCACTTGTATATCTTAGGCGTGCCACGCCAGAATCCCATTTGCGTGACTCATTTTTGACAGAGCTAGTCGACTCAGCCCGCCTCACCGAAACGCGAAGCCCCCAAAATCAGTGCATTTGATCCCATACAGCGCATCACCGACTCATCATCCAGCCACTCTTGGGATGGTGCATTAGTACGTGCCAGACGAAGCGCGCGTCCTTTTATTGGCTGCAAGCAGGACAGGATGGCAAATGCGTGGCAGTCCATCCTCCTGTAACACGCCCCCCTCCTACGAGTCCATAACGTCTTCACACAACCCTCGCTTCCCATACATCATTACCTCACCGCTCGACCTCACGTGACACGAAGCCCGCACATCTGCTCCTTCAGTGTCACTAGATCAACAGATATCATTGTGTCACGTCAGCATTCTGCCGCCACCTTTGTATCCTAACCGTTGAAAATCCTCACACCAACCTTGATGTTGAAAAGAACACGCCCTCGTCCTCTTCCCTCCACCCTCGTCCTGGGCTGTCCATCCCTCCCCTCGACGTTGCTCAAGCACATGGGAAGAGACTTAGTTGATTGACCCTCGTCTGTGGTACAGATTGCTCCTGCTGACTCGTCTGGGCCGAATGACTCGCGCCGCGGTGTTCTCGACTCTCCTTGGTCGAGTCTCCCAGTAACGAGCGGTGTCGTCTCGTCAATTATATTCCAACATTTGTGTCAGAAAAACACAATCGAGGTCCCATTGCTTTTCTCAACATCTTCTGCTACTCCAGTGTCCAGCTGGAAACGGAGGTTCACATTCAGTAAAGCTGAAATTGATTTCAGCTTCTGCAACCTCCCGTTCCTCTGCTCGCATCAGAACGGCGTTCTCTGTTCGTGCCGAGCAAACGACGCTACGACTTTCCCAGGCACTGACGCAAAGTCAGGCTTGATCTGAGCCTCCGTTATTTACGTGAAGGCTGATTCGTCGTCGATTCTAAATCCTAACACCATGTTTGCCATCTTCCACAAGGGTGTGGCTCCCAGCCAGCCCGAGCTTCAGTGCGCTCTCGCCGACGCAGCAGATCCCGCTAACGTTCACTCCGGAAGTGCCGCTGTCGGAGATTTTATGAAGAGCAATTCCTCGGCTACAGTGCTGCACTTTGATGACAACCTCGAGATTGCCTTTACAGGGGACGGCGGCAGGTAATAGCTACTGCCGGTTTTTCTACAACCCT